CCCAGGACGAGGAACAGTAGTAGCAGGTGCCGCATCCTGGGGCCTCCACAACCGCCACCGCCGCCGCCTCCACCTTCGCCTCCGCCGTCCTTGGCTATTATCTCGATCTTTTCATTCCTAAATAATGGATCGTGAGAGGACGCGGCACCGATCGATACCTCCAAATGTTCTTCATACGGCCAGGAAATCTCTCTCTTCTTCTGTTTCTTGTCGACAGTCCGCACGCGTCTCGTACGGTCGGATGTTAAAAAACCGGCGGAAGAAAGCACGAGTACGCGATCAACCGACACATTAATCACCCACTAGCAGCACCACCACCAACCACAATCACGTTTACCCTGGTCGTTTCTCTCGTAAACACTTGCACTCCTAGGAATTACGTTCGACTGTGCGTCCGCGCCTATATCCCACAGAACCGATAGAACCTGCCCGATCCTTGCCAACGAAGCCAAACGTTTCGAAGGTGATTGCGCTAGATTATAAACATGCCGTTTGTAACGACTCGCGCGATATCTCCTTGTGGAAATTCCTTCGGTAGATACGAGTTTATCCGACCCCGTTCCACCTTTATTCTTCGTCCTCCTTCCTCCTTCCTATCGCTTCCCTTCCTTTCTCTACCTCTCTCTGTAGCAGGCTGTGGTATCCGCGCTGTCCTCACCTTTGCTGGAATATCTTCGCCTCGAGATATCGTACATTCCTCGCGTTAGATCCACGTCCGATAACTCGACGATCAACACGACCGGTCGCGAACCCGGTGCGATCGTTTCGCGTCTGGAACGCCCTTCATGTCTCTCTCACTCCCTCTCTCTCTCTCTCTCTCTCTCTCTTTCTACGTTGAGCTTCTGTCGAATTTCCACCAAAAATTGACCCTTCTCGATCACGATTTGCTATGTGGATTGATTTTTATGCCAGCAGCAATCTCGTTGTTCCTGCTTGTTGTCTCATCTTCCTCGACGCGTATTCCATACGCCGATTTCCTCGTCGTCGTCTTCCTCCACTTCTGTCTTTCGGATTTGAGAAATCGTCGAACGTCGTTGCGCACGCACGTTAACGACCATGTAGAACGAGTCGGTCCAACGAACGAGCCGAGTCTCTTCCTTCTTCGTCGCCAACTTGTTACTTCTTACTTCCACCACTGCTGTGTATTCGTGGCAAAACAGCACCAGTCACGGTCCTTCCGCAAAAACTGTCACACGCTCGACACACTATAACCTATACGAGGACGACGAATCACGAATCACGAATCGCGAACCATAATCGACGTCACGCGCGACGAGAAAAAAAGATTATAAGATGCGCTAAAACGACGAGCTTGCGAATACACACGCTGGATACGACCTTCCCGTCGCGTATCGTAGGACGTTTACTCCGAACCACTCTCGTGATAGTCTCCTTTCGCTTCGATACACCCCTCTCTCGGTTCCCTGTTTATATGTTCGCGATCCGAATCGATTCGAATCGCTCCGAAATCACACGTACACGCGATCGATATAACGCGATGCACTGGACTCGCGACGAATTTAGGTGGTCTCGAGTGTGGTTTACATTCAAACGGAAAGAGCAGCGGCAAGAAGCAAACGGAGCACGAGGTGTTGCGTTCTTGGGCCCAGCGTCCGTTCCGCGCGGCTTCGAGGTTAGGCATGCACTGACATGGCGGCACCTGCAAGGCC